CCCAAATAAACCTTTCCTCCTTAATGTTGTTCTTGTCAGGTGTTTGGGGGCACAGTGATGAAAAAACTGACTAAAATAGTAGTTATCAATAGTTATAAAGCTGAGCTTGCAACAAGAAAATAGTTATTCTTGGAGAAGAAATAAAAGTAGATCTTCTAGATACATAAGGTATAGTTATTGACATTTTCTGAACAAACACAAATATACAGTTCAACAACTGGTTAGACGCAGCGCACAGATAATTGGAGATCTAGAAGGTATACCTGAAGAATATATCCAGAATGAAATACTGAATAATATGGTATGGAATAAATGAAAGCAAAACTAAGAGATTTAAAGCATGGTATGTAAAGAAGGAAGATATGGTATTGGAGTCCCTGCAGAGAAAATGGAAGAGAGACAATATTTGAAGAGATTTGACTGTGAAATAGCCTATAGAACTAAATAAAAATGAAAATTCACTGACTCAAAAGCAAAATCCTTCCAAAAGAGGGTAAGTAAAAAGAAATACTTATGTACATGCAAAAAGTTCAGTACTCCAAAGGCAAGGAGACAATCTTAAGTCTTTTAGATTAAGATCAGTGTCTCTCTTTAAAGAATAATAGTTAAAAGGGCAACAGACTTCTTGACTGCAACCATGGAAGCCTGAAGACAGTGGAATAATATTTTTAAACTGTCAACTAAAGATACAGTCAACCTAGAAGTTGTGTTGATAGCAAAATTATTTTTCAATCATGAGAGTAAATTTAAACTTTACAGATTAACAGAAATGAGAATTTATCTGCAGAAGAACTGCACCGGCACAACTTCCAAATCAGGGCTTCATGTCTTTTAGAATGATAAGCTAGTGAAGCCTGTGGGCTCTGTGTCAGAATAAGGTTTTTCAAAGTATGATATAAAATTGCATGGGGTTACAAAGGCAACCCATTTGAAACTTTAAAAAATCAAAATATTTTAATCTGTATTATACTAGTATGTATCCCACTTTGTAACTCACACAATAACAAAATCCAGTGATAGTTCTATTAACTACTCTAATTTCAGAATAAACAGTGCTGTAAGAGAAGGTGTCATCTTACAGGGCAGGACAGGCACAAATGAATAACTTCAAATGCAACTGTATCAAAGCAAGAGGCATGCAGTACAGCACACTGTGGTATATATCATCTTTGACTTTCTTTTGATTCATGAGTTATTTAGAATATAATCAAATATTTTCACATTAATGTATTTTTTTCCATGGTGCTATCTTTACTATTCATTTATATGTCTGCTACTTCTTGAGGGGAGAAGATAAGCTATAGACAGATCTTTTCCTATCACAGGGAAAGTAGGATGTTATGAATTTGAGGTATTGATTCAGCCCTGTAAGAGGACAGTGTGTGGCCAGCATTGGGACCACATGCTGAAACTGAAAGTTTGGGTGGGTATTATGAGGAGGGTCTTGTTCCAATGTGAAGAGGCAGAGCCATAGGTAGAGTAGGTGTGGTGAAGAATCTGTTCCCTAGAGGAGGTGACATAAGGCTGAAGGATTGTCCACCTGAATGAGTCTTATCATGTGGCTTCAGTGAAACCCAAAGAAAGGCACAAATAAAGAAAACATGTGAGTAGAGCAAAAAGGGGGTCACTGCTCAATGAGGCTCAAGGAAAAATTTTATGCACACCGTAGAGCAGCAATGCAAAATGCCTTGGGAGGTAGGTTTCAGTGGACTTGCTTCAACCTGGACTGCTCAGAATATTATTCACTCCATTGTTTCAACAATGATTCTTTCCTCAGAGAGGTAGTAAACACTAGTTGTTAGTGGTAAAGTTGTTATCCCAGTAGCTTTAGGCACACCTGCCAGATGTTTTGGGAAAGTAATTTAATTGACATTTCAGCCTGCATTCTAGAAGGACTTGCTTCACTCTCTACAATTTTGCCTTACCATTTGCCTTTCAACCAGATTTGATGATCTCAGGAAAATTCTTGATATTAGGCGGTGAAACAACTTTTAGTGTTAGAGAACAAGACAGAAAGAGCTAATTTATTCCAGCTGTCTGTGTGATCACTCTCTTTGGCCTATTTTTTCCCAGCTGTTTACTTATATGATACCCTTCTCCAACTCTCTTCAGGTTCCCCATATTTTTTTGTGTGTAAATCATAGACTTTGAATAATGAAACTGGTAAATTAATTGGGACAAAGGTTTCACCGTGGCAATTTCACAGCTAATTGAATTCCTAACCCTTTTCTTCACAGGGGTGTTACAAAATAAACCTTCATATCAGAAGTGCAACCTACTCCTCCCTTGTAATGGGAATTGAGCAAAGATAGCTCCAACTAACTACCCAACAGTTCCAGGGCAGTGGCTCTGAACTTCTTTTCTAGCCTGGCTCTAATAGATATGCTCTATTCTCCTGGGTCTCAAGTGGACCAGAGCAGGTGTCCTGAAAGAGGAAGCATTCAGGCACCTGGACTCTAAAAAGCCTCCTACAAGATGTTGATGTGGCCCTCTCTACTTAGATTTGATGCCAGTGTTTTTGTATGGAAGGGGCAGGGAAATCTGTTCCTTCTGGTGAAGTATTGAGAGAAAGAGGCTATTGGAAACAATAATCCAGTGTTTGACTCTGGAAATATCAGTGTATGCTGTGGTTTCCAGACTTAAATATGCCCCAGAAATCATGCACTGAGGGGTTGTTCCCTGGGTTGGCACTATTGGTAGGAGGTGGAGCCTTTGAGAGATGTGGCCTAGTCTGAGGAAGTTAGATCACTGGGGGCGTGCCCTTGAAGGGGAATGTGAGATCTCAGCCCCTTCTTCCCTATGTTGCTTCTGGGTCATGAGGTGAGAAGCTTTGCTCCACCACACATATGCACCATGATGTGCTACCCCAGAGCCATGGGGCCAACTAACCATTGACTGGAACCTCCAAAACCAGGAGCCCAAATAAACCTTTCTGCCCGCCCCCCCACCTTCAGTTCAGAGGATCAAATCCGGGACTTTGCACATGCTAGGCAAATCATCTACCATTGAGCTACATCCTCAGCCCCTAGTAAACCGTTCTGAAATGTTTTACCTGAGATGATGGTGAGAGTTTTAGGAAGACATCTGTTTGAGAAATAACTGTGTAATTATAAAGTGACTTGGGGGCTGTGGTGTGTCTTCTAAGGGTGATGAAGCTGGCCTCAGAAAGACTGTCTTGAATGTTCCAGCATTGGATTCAGAAGTCAAGAGAGAGATTCTAGAGGCATTTGGAAGAAGAATTAGTGAATCTCAGCTGCAGAGAAATGTGAGGGGATTTCAGAGAAGGGTTTCCCTAGCATTGTACTATAAGGAAGGGAGGCTACATCCTAGAGAGAGACTTGCAAAATGAAGGACTGTTGTAAATAATTGTCAATGTTGACTGTTTGGAGGATTTGTGCACACTGAGCAAAGCCTATTGGGTTTAAGGCCTGATCCTATCCACTGTAAAGACTGGGGTAACCTATAGTACTCTGTGATCAAAGGGACCTTGCGGATCTGGGAGTAACATGATTCATCCAGGTCTGATTTGTCATTTTGGAATCTGAGAGAAAATGTAGTTAAGGCCTTTCAGCCATGTCCCAGACCATCTGGCCCTTGCCCTAGGTGGCAAGTATGAGCAATTCATCTCCGCAGGAGACCTCATAACTATATATCTTACTTATTGTGGGACCTCCTAATATTGCCTAATTGAGGAGTGAGCCACAGCCTCCTGCCCCTCCCTGGATCTGGTTGGATATGGAGGAAGAGAGAACAGTCTCAGGATATGGATTTGAGTAACCAGGAGGGAAGGGTGCTGTTGCAGAATGTTGAGACTATAAAAGTACCACTGGGTCTGGGAGGTGGGGATTGCAGGTGCATTTCTGAACATGTGAAGAGTGAGAGAACCAGGGACCAGAAACAGAAACCATGGACAGTGTGGTGCTCACAGTGATCAAGGAAGAGCTCTGAGACAGAGCAGCAGATGGCATTCCAGGAGCCTTATAGTAGCTAGGTCCCCACTCCCCCACCCAGCATTGGGGAGAATAAACAAAAGACTCACAGGAGGAAGATCTTGGGAATCTGGGAGAGGGAAGCTAAGTAGAAGAGCAGCTAAAGAAATGTGAAGAACAGCTGAGTGGGAATATAGGAGCCTGGAGAGAGGGGGCTCCACACTGGAAGACACTGCTAGCTCTGCTACAGCTGAGGTCAAACTGTACTTTGTCTGATGCATGCAGTGACCTCTCAGGTAATCCTGAGAAGAAGAGTTTCTGCTAAGCTGTGGAGACCAAAACCAGATGTTAGTGCATGGGAAGTTACTATCTCTCCATGGTCCACTGGACATTCCTGAACACAAGGAGACCAGGAATATAGGGATCAGAGCCAATGTCTGCCTCAGGGAGAGCGAGCTTGGGAGAAAGGTAGACCTGGACCTGGGCCAAGGGCTGAACTGTGGTTCTTTCAAAGAATAGAGGAACAGCATATCCAGGTGATAAGGACAACAGAGAAGACTGCTCACCAGGACCTGGGACAAGGATAGGGGTAGGTCTTGGCCTGGGAAGGGAGTGGCTGCTCAGAGTTAGGGTAGAGCTTCATAGGACACTGAAGTGGGAGACTGTGCTATGAATGAAAGGGGCCAGAGACTGTGGGACCAGGGCAGCCACAGCATGGCAGCAGGATGGCAGGGGAGTGGTAGTGTTTTCACTTCTCTCTGTGATTTAAAGGTCACACAGCTAGCTTTAGAGGACGAAGGTGGACGAAGCAGCCTGGTAGAGGGTCATTCAGGAAGCCCATCACTCTTGGGCCACCTAGTGCAGTGCATGCTGCAGCCTACTCTGTGGCACCCTGGTGGCCTGCAGGCCAGATGTGCCTGCAGGCTGTGAACATCTGGAAGGAAAACAGAGCTCATTGCTCAGTGAAAACTCTGCTCCTGTGTTGTGTGAGATTCCACACACACTCTGCTGTTGAGGTTGGTTTGATTGGTTTCTGAATGTCTCACATGGATGCACCATCTCTCCTTCCAGGTGCTGCTGTCGGGACTCATTGGTGTCGTCTCCTGGAAGAGGCCTCTCTCTCTTGTGGTAAGTGGCACCTGGGTCTCCAGGTGGCCTGGGACAGGGCCCTCCCTGCATAGGAGTGAGCATGGCACAGGCAAAGGCAAAGAGAATCCCAGTTTCTTGGCTTGGAATAAGATGCTAATGTTTATTTTAAAAAGTAACCACTGCATGCGATGGGCTGGTCCGTGAAAACCACTGTGCATTTTACACATTGCACTTTTGAGAGATTTCCCTTGAAGATTTTCCTAAGATGCCCACATCACATCCTTTCCCTGTTTGTTTTCTTTTGGTGCCCTTCCTTAAGGACATACCTTGAACAAAGACATTTTGAAAGTGTGGATGTAAGCATTGTCTCCAAACCCAAAGACCTGCTCATGCATATACATATGCTTACATAGGATCACACAAACAGCACACACTTTGTCAGAGTTCAAGAAATGTTAGCTTTCTAGTGTGCTTGGGAGATATAAAATTCTGAGAGTAAAATAATGATACTTATTTGAATACAGGAATTGCTGGGGCATGGTGCTAAAGAGTGGACCACATGGGAGATGGAGAGAGGAGGATTTTTTTTTCCTTCTCTGAAAAGTACACCAAGTAGATTTGTGTCTATTGATCGTATGCCTGTTCTTCTCAGTGTGTGCATTAATATATTGACGTGTCTATGTCAGAACTAGAGGCTGGGATTTTCTGGTTTTGATGGGTAATGAAAAAGACAGCCTGACAGCTTTCTTCTTTTGTATTAATCAATTATTTAGAACATAGTTTTTAAGTGATTGGATTTGGAGATAATGATGTCCTAAATATTAATGGACATAGGAAAAAAATAAAACAAATTTGTTTGTGGAAGACGTCTTCTTTTCCATCTGAGTAACCATGACCCTGGAAAGGTATCAGGGAATAGATGGATGATGTGGAATTCAGTTGAACTTCCTCTTCCACTATAGCTCAGCTCATATGAGAAATTTCCTAGTGAAACTTGCTTTTTAGCCAGGGAAGGAGGTGCACACCTGTAATTCCAACAATGGGAGAGACTGAGGCAGGAGGATCCCAAGTTCAAGACCAGTCTGGATAATTTAGAAAGACCCTGTCTCAAAATAAAATTTAAAATAAGGACTGGGAATATAACTCAGTGGTCGAGTGCTTGCCTAGCATTAAGGGGCCCTGGGTACCTTTCCCAGTACCAGAAAAAAAATGTTCTTTATATGGAAGTTTCCAAACATGCACAAAATAGCCTGGTGTAATGAACCCTGTATACTTTTCATCTAGAGCCAATAAATTTGAATACCTGTCCTGTTTTATTCACCCATGTTTTCTCACTCTCCTGCCCTTACTATTGATTCCTTCTGGCTGGATTATTTTAAAGAAGTCTCAGCTTGTGGGTCAAGAAGCCCACTCTTGGGTTGTAATTGTGGCTCAGAGGTAGAATGCTTTCCTAGCACATATGAAACACTGGGTTCGGTCCCTAGCACTATACGAAAATAAATAAACAAAATAAAGTTGTTTTTTAAAAAAGAAGCTCACTCTTGGTGCAGAATGGTACGGCACTGAACCTACTGATGACTGTGGTGACACCTTTGCTTGTGCTCTGCGGTGACTTCTGTGCTGCTTTCAGTGACACAGGCATAGCTTGCTCTATTTCTTTCTGCATGCTCCCATGGTGCAGAGATTAAGTCCTCCAAAAGCAGTTCCTTAACAAAGAAAAACCATCTTCCTAAGGGGAGGGGTGTGTAGACAGAAACACAAGGGTAGTAGAATCACATTCAACACCCAGCTACCCACAGCCCTGGCCCTAGGATGCGTACTGGGCTGGGCATTTTATGATACAGATTGCATAGTTTATAACTGATGGGGAGTTAGGACTCATATGGACATGGCTCAAGTCAGAGGAGTAGTGTCTTTGGACCTCATTCTAGTAGGAGGGATAGTAGCAGCTGGACCTACTAGAGCAGAGGGTTCCAAGTACTTGCTCCTCAGTCCTGGTGATCAGTTCAGGAACAGCTACTCTCTGGAAAGTGCTCATATTCACTTCCCATTGAATTATTTTCTTCCTTATTCCAGGTAGAGGAGAAATGCATTCATTTATCTTGACTTTTTTGCCCTCTTTAGGGAGGTAAGGTAACGCTAGCAGCTGCAACACACGTTCAGTGGTTTAACACAACACAAGTTAGCTTCTGCTGCTGTCCAGGGTGGGTGCTGTGGTAAGTAGTTGCTTCCTCCATAGACGGCTGCAGAGACCCTGGTTTCTTCTATCTGGGGGGCCTTCTCCTCTAGGCCCTTGGAGTCCTCCTCTGCAATGCAGTGAGAGATCATGAGAAATGGGGATGGAACTCCTACTGCTTAATTTACTTGGACTCAAACTAACGCTTGTTGCTCCTATGTCAAACCATCGGGACAACTTGTCATGTTACAAAGTTCCAAAGGAGACTGGGAAAGCCATGCCTTTCTGGACAGGCACTTCCCAGAGGCAGCCTCACACTGTAGAGGAGATGGTATGAATTTTGGTGGGAAGTTTTCTTTTTCTAACACAAGAACAATCTTCTGTTCCTATTAGTCAGGACGGTGCAATCTTTTGAGTCATTACCAAAAACCCACTTCTGAACTCAACCATTGAAATAGCTTTGGCCTTAACTTTTTTTTTCTAAGAGGAGTAAGAGCATTGACAATAGATAGGAGGTAAATTCACAGTATAGTTATCCCTTGGTATATGAAGGGAATTAGTTCCAGGATCCTCCTGGACACCACAATCCAAAGAAGCTCATGTCCCTTATATAAAATGGCATACTGTTTGCATAGAAGCTATGTGTATCCTCTTATATGCTTTAAATAATCTATAAATGACTTATAATTTTCCAATATAATACAAATACTAGATGCTATTAATTTTTTTTCTTTGATCCACAGTTGGTCAAATCTGTGGATGTAGAACCAATGGATATAGAGGGCTAACTGTACACCGATGTGTTAGTTAGAATTCCCCAGAAAGCATAAGCAATGCGATGTATCTTTTTACTGCCTGACTGTCCATCTTTTGGGATTTGTCTACCTGTCATTCTATTAAGATATGTTTTAAGAATTAACCTCATGAGATTGTAGAGGTGAGCAAGTCCAAAGCTTCCGGGCAGGCTGGAACGCCAGAGAAGCATTGATGTTGCAGCTGAGGCAGGGTTCCCCATCTTTGGAAGAGGTCAGTCTTTTTCCTCTTAAAGCTTTCAACTGATTGGTTAAAGCCCATGTATGCTAAGGAGGATAATCTGCTTTGTTCTAAGTCTCTTGCCTTAAATGTAATCTCATTTTTTAAAAAATACCTTGACAGCAATACCTAAACTGGTGTTTGACCAACTATCTGGGGATTGCAGCCTAGCCAAGTTGACATGAAAGCGATCATCACAACAGGGTTCTATTACCTGACCAAAAATGCTCTATCCAGAATAGTAACAGTGAAAACACTGTAAATAACGATACTAGTCATTCATTGAGAGTGACCTGCGTGCCCTTATTTTCTCAGCAGTCCTGGCAAGAATTGGTTTTCCTATTTTGGGAAGAGATGGGGAGACCTCAGGTCTTGAAGCAATGGACTTGAGCTCAGAGCTCTCTGACTCTAAAAATCAACCACCTTTTTTGTCCCAACCTACCAAAGTCCATATAGATGTCCCTTTTCTTCCCCACAGCTTGTCTCTAATTCTGTATCAATGATTTGTACTCGCATTATCTTGTCCCTTAAGTTTTTTTTTCTGTTTCAGTGGGTGGCAGTGCCACCCACCCAACTTAAAAGCTGGACTCATTATGCCTTTTTTACTCCTCCCCTTTCATGTTCTTTTACAAGCTCTCCCATTTATTGCTACCTTTATATTTATACGATTGGCCATCTTTTCTTTATTCCTTAAGTAACGTGTTCTAGGGCAGACTCACCTTCTCTTACAGGATGCTGAAGTAGCCTTTTGAAGATCTTTGTGCCAAGAGTTTGGTTCTTCTTAAAGGCATATTTTTTGCATACCCATACCCAGAGTGATTTACATGTATCTTAGCCTGTTCTCTGTTTCTGTAATGAAATATCTGAGCCTGGATACTTTATAAAGAAAAGAGACTTATTTAGCTCACTGTTATGGTTTGGATATGAGGTGTGCCTCAGAAGCTCTTGGGTTAATGCAGGAGGTGAAATTACTAGGTTATGAGAGCTATAATTTAATCAATCTATCCGAGTTTGAATGGATTGACTGTAATTGTAGGCAGGTAGGGTGTGCCTGGATAAGGTAGGTCACTGGTGGCATGCCCCAGAAAGGTTCATCTTCTCTACAGTCTCTTCCCCTTTCTATTTCTGCTTCCTGGCTGCCATGAATGGGGTAGTGCTCCTCTCTTATGCCATTGCACCATGATGTTCTGCCTTACTCAGGCCTGCAGCAATGGAGTTGGCTGACCATGGAATGAACCTCTGAAACCATGAGCCAAATAATGTTTTCCTCCTCTAAGTTGTTCTTGTCAGATATCTTGCTCACAACAGTGAAAAGCTAACATGCTCACATTGTTAGAGACTGCAAGTACAAGACTGGTGGTCTCATCTATTCATCCTTGGTGGGCCTTATGGTAGATGGCATCCTGGCAACAGTACATGCAGAAGAGATAAGATAGTGAGACAGGAAGTCAGAGACCAGGGCGGGTCCAGTCTTGCTGTTTTTATAACAACCCATTCTCATAGGAATTAACTCACTTCATGAGACTACACTAGTCCCTTTGGAGGGCCTGCCCCCAATGACCTAATTATCTTCCTCTAGACCCATCTCTTAAAGGTCTCATCACCTCCAACATCTCCACACTGAGGACCTTGTGTCCTACATGTGAACCGTTAGGGAACATACTTAACCCGTATCCAAACCATAGCACTATCTAAAAGGTCAGTTGTACTATGGGCTCTTCAGTCATTCCCTAGGGCCTGGGGATTAGAACTGGGGATTATGGGACAATGTATGATGACTTATTGTATAAGAAAAGGAATTAATTAGAAAGTTAAGTACCTGACCCAGGGT